GTTTACCATTGAAATTCTGAGCCAAGGGCAAAGCGACAAATCCGCTAACAGTTGCGCAATGCTCAAGGTTACTTTCAGGTCTGGCTTTTGGAGGCCTCTTTTTTCTCCAGGATCCCGCCTAAGCGCTAGAAGGCGCTGGCCAACCCTTTGAAAGAAACCTTGGGAAAGCCACGGCTTCAGATCTGAACCCGAGGCTCCGGCAAATCGATAGGCATCGTCCTTGGTGTGACGTCCAGCGCGCAGGACCCACAGCAAGGTCACCTGCGCTCACTCCAAGCTGCGAGCCCAGTCTACGTGGGGAAAAATCAACCCATGGGTGTGTATATATATATATATATATATTTATACATCCACCCCCCACCCCCCCTCCCCACCCAAAAAGAATACATAAACTCATGGCACCACCCAAAAATGGGTATCTTCAAATGAACAAATGGACAAAAACAAATTAATCGCACCTCGGCCGCCAAAACCACAAACTCAGAGATGTGGTTCAAAAGTGCCCTGTACATCTGAGCCACAACATCCCGTAAAGAGAGTGCTCTTATTGTAAGCCGCTCAGAGCCTCTGGATTCGGGGGTAGGCTTGGAAGTCACAAATAAGCCTCCGAGAAGGGTTCCTGGCAACGGAAGTGGATTCTGCCCGGGTACAGATTGTTACCGCCAGTGGAAACACGGCGGTCGATGGCCTATTCTCTTTCCGAAACGCCGCAGGGGCAGAAACAGTCAAGCTGCAATTGTGGTACGCAGCCCAGAGACCAGCGAAAATCACATGCAAAGGCTGTAGGCCGAACAAAGTACGGGCTCCCTGCAAGGTAATACCACATGTAACCACAGGAAATTCAGCAAGTACTGCACACTCAACTTGCCTGGGCCATGAAATCAGAAAAGTAGAAGGAAACCACGCGGAAGCCAAAAGGTCAATAGGTCGGCTCGGGGCAAGTGAAGCTAAACTGGTTCCTCTCTAGCGACAAGTTTAAATTCATCATTGAAAGAGTTTTTGTAAAGGGAAGCCACCCAAAAACAACAAACGCCTAGGTAATGATTACCCCCAACAGCCAATTCCGCACCCCATGAAAGGACCCTTGCCTCAAACCACCCCTTAAGGGGCGCCTATCTGGGCCTATTGACCAAATCCATAGCTTGCAGCTGTTGTGTCAGCACTTCTGGGTCCTCCAGTAGAGAGGTTAGAATAAGGGTACCCTTTTTTCTGTAGTCTATTCTAGTAGGGGCACCCTCCCCCGAAAAAGGGTGAAAGGGCACCTAGCTGGGGGACCTAGACTTTCAGGGGCCCAGAAGTACGCTTGCGGCTTGCAACCAGGAGACATTGCTGGCCAAACACTCGCAGCCGTGCAGCAGCAACCGGCCCATGTCATTGCCTCAGCCGTGTCTGCCACCCAAAAACCCGGTTGCAACCACTGACCTTGGTGGATGCACCCCGGATTCTTGTAGAGGGTAAAAGGGGAGCCGCCAATCCAAACCAATCCCAACCAATCCCAACCAATCCCAACCAATCCAAACCAATCCAAACCAATCCAAACCAATCCAAACCAATCCAAACCAATCCAAGCCACCTTCCTGAGTGGATTGGCCAAAAAAGCAACCAAACTGCTGGTTTACCACTTCCCTGGTCTCCCCGAACATGTCTCAAGTCCAGGAACTCGGGGAGTGAGGCCACACCTGTTGCAACCACTGACCTTGGTAGATGGGAACCAGTTTGGGAGGAGGGCTGGTGCCGGAATATATACCCACTGCACAACTGAAAGTGCGAGTGCGCCGGGTCTTCCAACTGCATAACAAAAATCCAGGAATGCACCAGAATGTACAGGGCTCCCTCTATTTCCCCTTAACACATCATCCCCACCAAGGGACACTCACCTTTCATGGGCCAAAAAGGTGATGTGTAAAACCATGCATGATGCTGCCCCCCAAGCTTCCTGTAGAGCTCCCAGCTGCCTTCCAACACTGAGTCAACATGCTAACAGTTCGAGCGGCGCCCTCCCCATTCTCTTCAGGAAAATGGTGGTTTCCAAAGGGAACGATGGGTCCCGTTGCCGTTGGTGTTTTTTTTTTTTACTATTATTACCTGAAAAAAAGGCCGTCCATCCAGCAGATCCCCGGGTGAGCAGCGGCTTTTTTTCGGTGGGTTAAGAGAATGGGGAATCAAACCTTAGAACAGTGGAAGCCTATCGCGGGTTTAATGATTAATTATTTCCAACACTATCCACAACGGATGTCCACAGTTGGATCAGAGAAACATCTGGCGAAACGGGCGTGTCTCTAAATAGGGGAAAGCCAAACTGGCTGGTTTTCCCTTTGGTTTGCCTGTAAAAAACCAACCAAAATAAATCTCCAAAAAAAAGACACGCCCATTTGGCTGTGGTTCAAAACGGCACCTTGGCAGGTGAAAACAAAGACTCGTACCTGCGTAACCCCAGCTGCTCAATTTTCAGCCGCGCCCAATGGGGACCAGAGCCGAAGCTCCTTGAAGTTGGAAAGCGCAGCTTGCGCGCACTTTGTTCGCATTTCGCGAGGCGTCAAGAGGTTCAGCTTGCCCGGAGCCGCTTTCTTTCAGCTCCGGAAACCGCAAAAAGATAGGTTTCCCTAGGCCCCCCCCGAAAACGACATCACCACTTCCGACTGTGCCAAAAAAGTTGAAGTTGAAACCAACTCTGAAAGAAAAATAACTCCTAGGTCCTCCAGTAGAGTGTACCCTTTTTTCTGTAGTCTATCTTAGTAGGGGAACCCTCCCCCACAAAAGGGGTGAGAAAGGGCACTACTGGGTCACCTAGACTCGGGAGCCCCGACTGACCCAGAGCCTAAGACTCATGGGTTGCCGTTTCGATCGAGGCGTGTGAAACTCTCGCGGTGCGCTGGCAGGCGATCTGTTGAAATCTGTGGCTCAGTAACTCGGAGTTCTGGACACTCGGTTGCTTTCTGCTCCCCTGCTAAAAGTGAATAGCTTCTAGTGGTTTAATGGAAAACCCAAGGGTTGGCAAAAAGTTAAAGTCCTAACATCCAAGCAAAATGCACCAAACTCCAAGCAGCTTTGTCACTTCTCACTTTTTCCATGCTGCATCTTCTGCGTGCAAAAGATGAGAATTGTGTTTTTGCCAAAAGTGCACATCCAAAGTTCATTCCGAACTAGCTAAGCGACAGCTCCAGCAAATCCAGTCAAAATACCCTGATCAAAATGACAAATCTGCGGGCCATGGAGCCGCACCATTGCAACTGCTGCTACGAATTGGACGGTCGGTTCCTGGTTTCTGTGCAAAGCTATGCGTTTGCATGGGTTGTTAACCGCCCAGAACCAGCAAAGGACTCTAACGCAACATGGACAAAAAAACATCGAGCTAGACTGGTGCACTACTTGTCACCAAGGGTTTAGATAGAGTTCCACAAACAACATACGGCTGAGTCGAGTGGCTTAATTGTGGCCATCGAGTTCAAAAGGTTAAACGTATAGCCATATTACTATGAGCCGCACGCATCAGTTGCATACGTCAACGAAGGACGTAAGTCATCATGGCATGTCGGCCAAGCAAACAACTGCATGCCACAGCGTATGTAACTATGAGACTCACGTCATTTTGGTGTCCCTTCGAATGTCAGGTTGCAGTGCTGTGCCTCTCTTAGCTGCATTTCATGTCTTTCAACAGGTGGAAAACCAAGGAAACCAAACCAAGCAAAACCAAGAAAATCCACACCACGAGATACCTCATTTTCTAAATCGACCAGCGCCCACACCCTCATGCTGCCCGCTTACTCGCCTCGCAAGAAGCTGCCTTCATACGTCGCAAACCTCGACGGCAAACAGCCGACGATCTTTGGACTCCGAATTCAGTGCAGTCGGTAGTAGTACAGGCGTCGACACTTGGCCTGGCTTATGGAAAATGAAAGTCCCCTTGAAATGGCCGGGCAGCCGTTGATGGAACACCCATTAACCACGCACATGGAAGGATGTTGTGGATGTGCGGTTGAAGCATAAAAGCTTTCTTCTGGCAAGGGCCTGTGTGATAGTTTTTTGATCTTGATTCTTGCGCCTCAACGTGTTCCCATGTTCAGCTAGAAACTCCCTTGGAATAAGCTTTACAACCTTTGGTGTGGTAGCAACAAACGTTCCTTTTTGCGCCCCACTCAAAATGAACAGAACCAACAAACACAAAAATAGAAAACCTAAAACATGACCCAACCACTTACAGTGAAGTAATTACAATGATTCAACATGGAGTGACAAGAGGTTCCCGCTGCCTTCATCTACACGGCTTCAGTGATTGAGGCCCACCACAACGGGGGGGGGGGCGCAACAATCCTGCCTATCCCATGACAAGGAGGGTCCCTCGATTTACCTGTTAAGCATCACCTCACCAAAAGGAAACATACCTTAAACTGGTTCCAAGGCAATGTTCAAAACCACCCTTCTTGCGGGAATACAAGACATTTTACCAGGCTTGGGCTCTCAGAAAACATGTCAAGCGAAACTCCTGCAATTGAAGCCCGCAAAATGCCTCCATGAAAACAGGCACAGTCAAGCATGCAGCAAGCACGGGCGTTCTTTACAAGCATGTTTCTGGAGACGCGTGTGGGGAAGCAAGAGGATCACTTCGTGAAGAAGAGAAATCAAACTGTTCACTTCCCAGCCAAAAACAGCTTGTCTTCCACAAGTTCTGTCCAGAAACTGTGAAGTGAGCCCCCCCCCGTTTGGTGTTGGTGGCGTCACTTTCAGCCCGTTTTCAAACGGCAGTGGCGTGAATTGTTCGAACTCAAATGGCAGTGAAGAGGAAACAGTACTTTCGGCAGCAAGTCCGGATTGAGAAGGGCCCGTTCCACAGTTCTCAGAGCCCTCCATTTGTGTGCACCTCTGTGACGAGCCCAGGTGAGACCAAAAGGGTGCACGAACCCTCGGCCGGCAGGCCGACGAATCAGCACGGCCTAGCTAAAAACTAAGGCACAAGCTTGGAAGCTGCGATGGATCCACACGAACCGCACCGTTTTTCTACTGCAAGAGGGCTATTGCAAGGCCGTGTCAACTACGTCGGGGCCGGCCGAGTGTGAATTTACTCATGGCCGAGCTCTTCTTCCAACTCTTCGATGCGGCGCTGCAGCGCAATGATCCTGAGGCAGCCAACGTATGCTTGTAGCTCGTCTCTTTCAAGCTTGGACCCCACAAAATGGGCCGATTTCCTTTTGGTTTCCCTTTCGGCTGAGGTGTTTGTTTTTTGCATAGCCCTGGCATTAGCCTAACCCTGGCACAGCCTGGCGTGCACGAAAGGAGACACTAACGGATAAAGGTTTGGGGTAGGTTTAGGGTAGGTTTGGGGTAGTCGATTTGGGATAGGTTGAGGCCCGGCATCGTTTTAGCATTCTCAGCATCGTGTTCAACATCCTCAGCATCACCAGGTTTTGGTTTAGGCTGGGTTTAGGGTGGGTTCCAGGTTGGCTCAGGGTCGGCTCTCCGTGGGTTCCAAACCTCTTGAGCAAAATTGGGTGTGGTTGTGCTTGCGGCAGATGGTTTAGTGCTTGCTGGCGGGTGGCACCTACCTCAAACCACCCAAGTGGGCTTAAACACAGCCATGGCTGCAGCCAATTTTAAACCCACCCGAAACCAGCCCTAAACCTACCCGAGACCAACCCCAAGAAGCCCCACCATAAACCAGCACTAAACCATCTGCTGCAAGCACAGCCACACCCAAATTTGCTCTCAATAGGTTTGGAACCCATCGAGAGCCGACCTGGAACCCACCCTGCTGAGGATGTTAAAACGATGCCGGGCCTCAACCTATCCCAAATCGACTACCCCAAACCTACCCTAAACCCACCCTGAACCCATCCCAACCCACCCATCCACCCACCCACCCACCCACCCACCCACGCAACCACCCACCCACCCACCAACCAACCAACCAACCAAACCACCTGCCAGGGTTAGCCCTGTGCCAGGGCTAGGCAAAAAAAAACACCCTTTCCTTTCCCTTTCACAGCCACAAAAAAAAAAAACAGGTACCCTCAAAAAGACACACCCATGTGTCGACAAAAGGATTTGGACCCGCTTGGTTGGTTTCCTTTGGGTTTCCCCTTGAACCAACCCCAGAACGGGTACCCTGAAGAGAAACACAAAGACACATGGCTTGAACCCGTTGCAAGCAGCCGGTGTGAGCTTGTCCCAATAAACCCTAAGTCTCCCTTTCAGTCAGTCTTCGCCCTCCACAAACATCACATGGACTCGGACCCATCCCATTTGGACATCCTAGTCCAGGTTGAGCCTCCATGGATATGTTGTTGTTAACAAAACGGCAACGTTTGAGTCACAATCAAAACCCGGCATTAAAGTGGTCTACCCAGAACCATGTAAAGAATCAAGAAGGCGGCTGCAACTATTTCTGGCTGGGACGGCCCCTTACTAACCTTCATCTGCCCGGAATTTGAGCACGTGGCTCATTTGGACGTCCTCCAGGTCACCAAAGGTCTTGGGTGAAGCTGCTCAAGAGCTCTCGCCAGATCCCCACCCCCAACTGCCCAGCCCTCCGTATAGCATATCCAGAAGATCAGAAAGGGGATGTATCTGGGCTGCCCCTCGGATTCTTCTGCTCAAAGTTTAACTTTTAGTAAGTAAATGAAAAGCTAAGGGGATGGCTGGGCGGTACGAATCCCTCCATTGCATTCCTGTACGTCACTGCATGGAATTTCCCAGGCGGATCTCCATTGAGAAATCGGTTTACGTTTAAAGCGGGATGTCAATGAACAACCCCTCCTCCCTCCCCCACCGCACTGAGCGAACCCACCGGGAAACAACATGACAAATGTTGGAACATTGGCAACTGATGAGCCATATATCTAGCCTAAAGTCGATTGCAACTGCTAACAACTATCCACCCACTCGCCCGTAACAATCTCCAAGGATTTGTTTCATCATTCAACGATATGTCTGAGGGTTTATATGCCACTTCAGGAGGGCATTGACGTGCTTTAACTTTGGGTGCCTGCCTAATCACCTGGTTACCCATCAGGGTTCCGAAAAAGCTGCAAAGCCCATGTTTATCAAATTGCCCACAAGGTTATGAAGAGCCTCGTGAACGCCCCTTGGAAGACACCCCCCAAACACAAGGGATGGTAAGGTCGTGGGTCTCGCATGCCAGAGTTGGTACCTCGTACAGCAAAACCAGTACTGGGGGGCGGGGGCTGCTGTGATAAAAAACAAATCAATATCAGTATGGGCTAAGCAATTACACAATAATCGCCCTATGACCCCTGTCTCATTATTTAGGCCCTAGTATACCAACACGGACTCCATTGAAGTGGCATGCTCAAAACCAGAATCGACAACTTGATTATTTGTTTTTTGGGGGGGATTTCCACCCCTTGGGTCATTTTGAGAACCTCTCAAAATCGCCCCCCCCAATACTCAGTTTGCCAATCAAAGTCCAACAACTGAAATAAGACACCTGGTAAGCTCCAGTTCACGGACATGAAACCAAAATGAGGGGTCCGGGAACTGTTGTCCTTAAAACATGACCAAGCCCCTGGTTCCATGTAATGGGAACCCGGATACATAAACTCCGGGTCGATGAATTGGAAGGGCGCCCCTTTTTTTCGCGGGGTGCAACCCACTCTTGTAAGGAACACACCCCTACTGTGGGTGGACGAAATCCTGCCCCACCTAAGAAACCCTGGAATGATGATTCCTCTGTAAATACCAACGAGCAATGGTTTCAGCCATGGTTTCCAAGTGCTGCGGTTTAGTGATTTTGCAACCATCCACAGTATGAACAGGACGGGTTCTACTTGGCTCCGGGGTCAACCAAAAAAACACGCCTCCGACGCCGCCACTTCGCCCGAACCCGAGGCGCTGCTGGTGCACCGAGGTCTTCTCACCCTTCAGCTGCGTCACCTGGGCGGCGAGGGCCGCCGCGGCGTTTTGCCGTGGCCCCCGTGGATCCCGTAGGCAAAGCCGAAGGATCCACAGCAAAAAGGGTACCCATACAGCAACACGCAGTAGATCCCAGAAAAACCCAAATAAGTAGGTAACGCTTCGACATGTATATTTTCCTGCTGGATTTTTGCTGGGCGGATCCAGTGGCGACCTGTTTTCATTGGTCAATGGATCTGGGTGGGGCAAAACACGCTCACACCCGGAGGTGTCCTTTACCTGACGAGAAGATTGGTTCGGAACCTGAAGCACCCCCCTTGGGACCAGTTTCCCTCTAACAGGAACCCATGAAGGCACACACCCAGCCCACTTTGTCTGGGTTTTTTGGTCCAAGATGCTGGGCCAGAGCAAAGGGCCAGGGCAAACTACCCAAAGGACCAACTTTGGGACACCCTCATGTTGTATGTCTGGCTCCCAAAGTCGGTGTGAATCAATCGTCACTCCCGAAGCAAGCGCGGACGTGCTGCCAACCCTCCCGCCCCCTTCTCGGCATGGTCTATGATTCGCCCCTGGCGTGACTTCGCCGGCGCGGGCGCCTGCTGCTGAAGCCGGACATTCTCAGATTCCTGGAGCTTTGATTGCACCTCAGGCAGCAAGCTGCTGCGTGGAACGCGTGATCGGATTGGATGGTGGAGGTGCGGCTGTAACGTGTATATGTTACATCTCCATAATTAAACTAGGGATCAATACATATATATATATATATAGACAAACACACATATATCAGTATATGCGCGTACAATACGAGGTGTGGTAGTCAATAATATGTGTGAACTAGGGAGGGGTGGAACCACTGATCCGCTCCAGCTCCTCAAAAAGCCATGCCCACATGGGATCCAGACCATCTATGCAGCACCCGGTTGTTTCCCCTTTTTGTTGGGAGGGTGGGTTTTCCTTTAAACACGGTGAATCACAGAACTATTTCACTGGGCTGGGTTCTTTCGCAGGCCGCAGCCAGCTGAGTGTGTGTGTGTGTTCTTCTCACTTCACCAGAGCCAAGCTGTGCCTTTTTTGGGGCTAGGTCCCCCAGTAGTGGCCTTTTACCCTTTTTTGGGGCAGGGTTCCTCACAGAAGGTGGGCTGACGAAGGTGGGCTTTTGGCTCAGGATTTCCAGATCCTTCTGGGTCAAAGGTGGCACCAGAAAATGGACCGTCCATATAGGGCAACCCATTTTGGGGCTACTGGGTCCTATCTGATTTTTGACCCACAGCCAGTGGGCCGTTAGTTTGTGTTCACTTCTCGCATGAGGATGCAAACGTGCAGTGGATTCTTCGCCCCTGAAAGGGGCACGGAACCTCAAGAATGCTCTGCCAGCCCGGCGCGAGCGACGTGTCTCTGTTTTGCGGGTACCCATGTTAAGCGGGCTTAAAGGGACGCCAACATGAAGACCACCATGTTGTTTGGAGGGGGGCCCATTTCCCACTCGGCCTCCATTTGCTTACGTCGCCTGGAAAGAATGAAAAATAGGTCCAGTAGTGATAGATTCCCTCCAAAACCAACAGGGGAAAACAACTTAACCAAATGGAAGTCAGAAGTCCATGACGTACCTGGCGAATGAGTTTTCACTTCTCCAGCCTCGAACTCCTGCATCATCCGCTGGATGTCAGCCCCGAAGTAGCGCTTCACGTCATTCAGCTGGGATTGCATGCCTGAGACGAGGGGTCTTACAAATTTGCGGACCCCAATTGAATGGCGGTGTTCCCAAGCCAATCGAGCACCCCAAGAACGAAGGACGCACGCAAATCTCTGCACGCCTGGCCGGACAAAAACACCCCCTGAAGGCAAAAAAAACCCTTGGCCTCGAGCCAAGCGACTTCAGCCCCACACAACCCGCAGCAAGACACGAAGGCGCTCGTTTCGTTTCACCCGTTGCGTGCACTCCATACCGAGAATTCTGCCTTTCCGCCCGCAAGCTGACTGGAGGCCTTCGTTTCTGTGGACCCCGACGGAAACGACCCAAAGGCAAAAATGGAGCACCAGTTTCCTCATGGAATAGGGAGGACCATTCCTCCCCGAAACGACCAAAGCCACCCAACCGGAAAAATTACACTTAAAAAGAAAACAAAAAACAAAAAACAAAAAACAAAAACCTTGAAAACAATTGCCCTCCAAACAAAAATCACGCCCGTGCCCAGCGGCCGCTGGAGGAGTTGGTGTTGCCTGCCTTGATGCTGTGCACCTTAAAGCTTGGAGCTTCGGAAAGGCTTCGGGCGCCATGTGCTTCGGGGAATGAGGGAATGACCCCGAAAAACACAATCCCCAAAAGTCTCCTTCAACTGAATCCCCAGGTTCATTCCCAAAACAATGGGTGCTTCCCTATCGCACCAGCAAGCAAACTCAGACGAGTTCGGCCTGAACCTCGCAGTTCACGTCCCCTGCAACCAGCGCAGGGGAACAAATCGATTTGGTACGTGAAAAGGCAAAGTTCAGGCCTTCATTGATGTGTTGGCATGGGAATCCTAGATGCCCCAAACGTGATGCTTGTCCCCTTTCAGCTGGGTTTGGAAGAGAACAAAGTCAAGAGCACCGAAACCTTGGGTCAGAAGCTCAGTTGTATGGCCGCTGCCTACAAAATCTACAAACATGAAGCCCCATTCATGGTTGGGCCACCTCGGCTCCAACTAGGGACCCACCAAAAAGAGTGTCGGAGGACCTGATCATGATGGATATAGGAAGCTCAGCCCACTTGCGCGCCGTGCCCCCTTTGGCATTCAGCGCCAAAGTCATTCCCTCATTGGCTTTCAGAAAGTGGACCCTTGGCCCGCCTTGGGGGGTCCCCTAAACAGACACACCCTTAAATAAGCTGAGGCATTCTTAGTTGCTCAGTTCGGGTTCAGAATTAAAAGGCTGGCTCCGTCTTCAGGCCACCAAAAATGGGAAGGGGAAACCGAAGGATCAAAAGGGTCGACGCTTTTCCGGGTTTATCTCAAAATACGACTCGGAACCCTGACAAGGGCTTCGGCAAACCAACCCAAGACCCCCTCAGATGAAGGATGTTCTTTTCGTTTTCCTCTAAAGCCAACAAAAACACACAGGGTACCCCGACCCAAAAAGCAAAACGGGGTACCCAAGCCTCCAAAAAATGACGAGCACGGGTTGTGTCTTCTATCGAATCGGTGCCCTTGCATGACAAGTAATGTTGACCTAGGATTAATAAACCCGTCCCATCATTAGCGGGGGTGTTCCCTCCAAAAGTAATGAATCCCCACTAAAAGGGGACACCTCCCCACGGGGTTTATTCATCCGGGGTGTACATTACTATACCCATTTTTTGACTGGCAAATATTTGTGAAGGGTACCAACTCAAAAGAAAGTTGACCCCCCCAGCCACCAGCAACGACACCGACGTGGCCCACGTGGCCCTCCGCTCCGCCCTCCGCTTTGGATCCAGGGCACGTGGCCCTTCTCGACGCCAAGGGCCTCGTTCTGGGACTGCAAAGTGGTGGCCAGGTCGTGCACCTGACAGCCGCCCGGGACTAGGCCCCAGCACACCCCAGGGCTCAGGGACACAGAGCTTGGGCCGAAAAGCTGGTTTTCAAAACCACCAAAAAGGGAATACAGGGATCCAACCACTATAGGTTCTATACTGGGTGGTGAATTCACCTACCAACCAAAATGGGATCCCATTGCATTGGTTTTGACAACCACGGCCTTGTGGGGACAAACTTCAATCTTTAACAACCCCAAAGTGGGGACTGGCAAACACCTCCACGCGGCCCCCTTCAAGCCTTTCGTTTGGAGGGCATGAGTTAGTCACCGGGCCTTGAGCCAGAAGTTCACCCATCCAGGTCCTCCAGACTGAGGATAGAATCAGTTGGTACCCACTTTTGTCTATCTAGGGGAACCCTACCAAGAAAGAAAGGGTACAAGGGCACGATTCTGGGGGACCTAGTCATAAACCCATGGCTGACTCAACGAGGATTCAAATGTGTTTTGGCCCAGGGAACAGGAGATTCTACCGAAGAGTGGCGTTGGGTGCCAATTCCCTGAGAGTCAAGGCGACTGTTCTCCCACTATTCCCACGCAAGCAACGGGAACTGTGGCCATCTATCACTGCCCATCACTTCCGAACGAGCGGATTGGCAGAACCACTCCAGGAGCTGTTTGTCTACCACTAAAATGGTCTTCCGCAAAAGTTAAAAGTTAAGGGACTCAGGCCGTTAGCATTCTTTGAGAGCCAGATTGGCAAATAGTTGGTTTGTTTAGCAAACTGACTACAAATATCAGCTACAATGGCCTGCCCTCCCGTCACAGCCTCCCCCCCCCAAAGGGAATATATGGTCAGTTGGCTTGATCCGCACTAGTGCTCAACAGCCACCCGAAGAACAACGCGAAAGCAAACCAAAACCGCCGCGAGCTGGTGCCAAGCAAAGCTAAACTCGCTCATGGGCTCGTTGGCCTGGGAAGCCATTTCCGGCTGAACAAAGGTCGGCATCTTTCAAGAACCATCGCTCATCTTGTCCCGATCGGCCCCCAACGCGAAACCTTGGCAATGAAAGTTCCCGTAGGCAACTCGGTCAAACCGGAATTCAAAGTCTCAGGTCCGAGATGGCTCAGTTGAGAAGCCAAGTCAGCTTCGCGAAAAGAGCCTTGCGCGTTGCCACCTTTCCAGAAAGACCCAGACACGAAAGCCCCTTGCACGAAACGCATGGACTCCTCTTCCCGAAAAGCATCTCAACCACGGAACAAAATCTTGCTTTGAGTTTGCGTTTGGTCCAAACCAAAAAAATGGCACCCTCAAAAAAAAGAGCCAACAAGTGGCACCCCAAGAGAAACAAGAGCACACAGACACAAAATCTACCCCGTAGGCCTACCGACCGGCCAGCTTGACCGCGCCTTGCCCTTCATGCCCGTGGGCTTCCGAGACATGCCTCAGCCGTCAGGTGAAGCCCCGCGCTTTCACACGACCATCTGCTGAAGTGCCCATCGTAAAGTGAGGTCCAGCGGTGATCGTTTTCCAATTTAAAACAGGGAAAAATGAAGCAAGTCTTAAGCACATGGAAGTGCCCTTTGTGATGTGTGAAAGGCAAACAACATGTAAAACAGTAAAAAGGTAGCGAATGCACGCCTCTCCATTACGTACACTGCGCCTACCTGAGCATTGCCTACCAGCTACAAGAAAACGTTTGGAAGCACTGCCGTTTGGGGATCCTGCCTCCCCAAAGAACAAAGGACAATAACAACATTTAGGAAAGTGCAAACTTCTGGGCGATCGCCGAAAGCAAATGCAGGAAGCATAGATAGCTACTCAAAAATGGGCTGCTTCTCTGTGGTTCCCGTTTCAACCAAGCCCAAAAGAACCCGCAATAACAAGCAGCCCAGCAGTTTGTCAAATTGTTTGAATCCATTTTACCCCCAAGATACCCATGACCCAGGGAGCTGACAACGCCTGCAGCTGCGCCAGCATGCTTGCTCAAAGGAACTGTATATCCTGGGTTAACATGTTTGAAGCCTTGACCGCATCAGCGGTCCATTTGCTTTCGGCAGTGCCGGCTTTGATTGGCGGGCGCGTTGACTTTCTGCCAGTCGAACGTCCAAGGAATGCTTCTACTCGGGCTGGGGTTTACTTTCCTTCCGGTTAAGGCGCCTGCGCTTGGCGGACTTCCAAGTCTAATTACATAGTCACCCATGCTGTGGTAAAAAGTGAACGATCCCATTCTCATGAAGACATAACATACTTCCACGGACGTATGGATCCGAATCTAGAATTTGATACAAGAAATGTACGACACCTGCAAACCGCAAATCTTGGAGACACCATCGGGAAGTGCAATTTCAGTGCTTGCCGTGCCGCACTGTTGCCCTACATCGCGCACAAATACGTATAGATACGTGGCGGCGCATGTGTGTGTGTGTGTGTGTGTGTCTGTGTGTGTGTGTGTGTGTGTGTGTGTGTGTGTGTGTGTGTGTGTGTGTGTGTGTGTGTGTGTGTGTGTGTGTGTGTGTGTGTGTGTGTGTGTGTGTGTGTGTGTGTGTCTGCGTGTGTGTGTGTGCGCGCGTTTGCGTGTGTGTTTGTGCTTGTGCTTTTAGGGTTATTAAGCCTTTCAGGTTGGTGGGCAACCAAGGCCAGCGTGTTGGAAGTTTCCCTATTGAGAGACAACCGTACATGCACGAATTCAACAAGCAACCATCCAATGAAATAACCACATCAACAGGACTGACAAGCTGTGGAATGCAGCACCATGAGCCCACTCCACCCTTCAGTACCCCGCAACACAGGAAAGCTTGAGCTGTTCAGGAATGGAGGGTCCGTAACCTCCACTGGGAAACCGCGTTGCCACAGAGACAGACTGTAGAGGTAACAGGGAAGGATTCAGACTGCCTTTGAACAGCCCAAAAGCAAACGCACGCTTGCAGCCGCGGTGCTCATGACGTCAGCCCTCAGTTCGAGTTGGGCAAACAAGAAAGCCCAAGCGTATGGGCACAGTAAGGGACATGTCGAATGTAACTGCTATTTGGATAAGGTATGGACGGCGAAGACAACAACTTCTGTCTTTCGGTTGTTTTTCGCTCCCCCGGTGGCTTCAGAATACTCGTGGCAGGCAGGCAGGCAGGCAGGCAGGCAGGCAAGCAGGCCAAGACCAGCTTGTTCAAAATGTCCAAGTTAGTCTTTGGGCAGTTCCTTCCATGAGCAGCCAGAACCTGCCTGAGTAAGGCAAACGAAGGGTCCTTCCGACATTTGGGACCCTAAACATGAGTGGTTCATCTACGGGTGCCTGTAACATAGTATAACATAGTGGTTTCTCTGCAGCTGTACACAAATCAAGTCGCCTCGTTTGGCTGGGGAAGCAATTCAGGAAGCAACTCAAAAACACACACCCACCAAACAAACAAAAAAGTTACCCCCTTCGTCGCCTTGAATTCGACTTACGAGGAACCCCCTTGGCGACTCGAGCTTCTCGTTGCGTGCTTTCAGCTTGCGGGATCACAAGGACAAGCCCAACGACTCCGGGAACGAAGTCGATACGTCTTGTCCACGAAAACGTAGTTTCAGGCTGTGTCTCTTTCTTGTGGGACCCCCCCTTTAATTTAAAAGACACGAAAAAAAGGCCACCCTCAAAAAAAGACACACACCCAGAAGCCAAGAAGGCCCCCCAAAAAATTTGAGCCAAACGATTTCAAGCCGGAGCCTTTTATCTCACCATGCCCAGCCGCATGTCGCGTCTTGCGAAGTGGTGAGGGCACGGAAAGCGGCTGAAGGCAGAGCTTGAGAGCCACAAGGCTGCGGGCGAACTCCAAAAAAAACGAGGAGCTTCGACGGTTTCCGATTCACCAGAGATGACCTTCACTAGGTCCTCCAGTAGAGAGGTTAGAAGAAGTTGGTACCCGTTTTTCTGTAGTCTATTTTAGTAGGGGAACCCTCCCCCCAAAAAAGGGAAAAAAGGGCTCTACTGGGGGACCTAGTTCCATTGGCTTAGAAAATGAGAGAATATGTCCAGTATTGAAATCGATTCCTGTTAAAACCAGAGAAAATCACAAATTGTCTTAACTAAATGGAAGTTGCTCAGAGGTTTGTCATGACAAGGATCCCAACATGTCTTCCTTTCTGGCTTCCCTTACTAGGTGAAAAGCGTTCAACTAACACAAATCCACATTCTGGTGTAAAGCACAAATCATAGAAGCCGACCCTACTGTCTGCCATGAAAGTAAGACTTCGACCTACCAGTTAAATGATGGTAACAAATGATCCCAACAGAAATTATGAAAGCCCCTAAAACAAGAAATGCTCACGGCAACCCACTGATTCAATTCCATGGGTTTCATGCTGAAACTTTACACGTAAGTATACCAAATGTATTGTGTAAGCAAGTCAGTCACGAATGTCCGTCCAATTCCGTCCATCTTGCAGCTGTGAGCATGTGATTCGCGGTAAACAAAACTCTCGTTGAGGGTCCAGCCGTTCGAGGTGGACACAGCCGGACATACAGCAAGCGTAGAAACTCTTGTCCAATTGGTTCTTGGACCACAAGGTCGGCTTCACGGAGCTGCCCTTTCTCTACCTGTCACTCACCGTGTTTCAAACTCGGAAGGGGCATCTAGGCCCATCGTCCCGGCCAGATCTGAAAAGTACTGGGAAAAGCCGGCGGTGGACGACCAACGGTGGACCTCTCTTAGCTGCAAACCGAAGAAGCGATGTTGCCAATAAAACCCACAAGCCTTTGAACGCCCAGGCTTCCTGACCGCCCTTAGCCCTTGGAGAGGCCAGCCCTTGGCCCACTTGGCAATTGCCCCTTGAACCCTTGAACCGACTCTTGAGCACAAACCCGAAGGGGTTGAGACCAGCCCCGAACCGTAAAAACAAACAAGACGCTAGAAGACGGTGCTTGCAAACATCGTCTCCGTGGCGGAAACGGGCGTCTTGTTAATGGCACTGGTACATGATCAGAACCAACCACACAACCAGGGCCACCCATGTTGGGGAACAAACTTGAAACAAATACTGACCCAAGAGCACCCATGCTTTATGCGTCCGTGTGGACACAAATAAGGCAAACACACACCAACGAATGAACCTGACATACTGACCTGCAAAATGGAATGTCCTCGCCCAACTCTCAAACATCATGTGAAATTATTTGATGTTGACCGCCAATTGATTTTGATCGGGCCCCCGGTTTTTTGGTGACCTTTCCATCTCTTTCTGTCAAAAACGGACACCGTTTCAGTTCAAATGAAAGTACCTGGAGTTTCCATGACCCTAGTGGGGGCCACTACCCAAAATCATGGGGTCCTGGACCCATTTCTAGTTTCGGGGTCGTGGAGAGTCTGGGTGGTTCAGCAGACGCGGAAGCCACGGATCCGTCTCCACGTCTCCCTCCCTCGCCGAGTGCGTTGCGGTGGAGCTGCTCGCCGTCGCCGAAGCCTGGGGTATCCACCAGGTACACCGGCCTACCAGCGCGAGTCATCTGGGGGGGGAGGGAGGGGAGGGGAGGGGAGGGGAGGGGAGGTCAAGGGAAGAAGAACAATGAGGTCGCCAGGAATATTTGTGTATTTTTTCGCTTTTGGATTTGGGGGGGGGTGCAAAGGGTGTTTCGAATGAATTTGCGTGGTGAGTGATGGTGATATTTAGACGGCATTTGCCAGGTACTCGGGGGGCATTTGCAGAGTAGTTGGAACTTGTTCAATGTGTATTTTGATAGTCACTTTTAGTCACTCCTCAAAAATATCCCAAGTACATCCAAATACCAGCCAAAGACGCCACCCAATACCCACTCCAAGTAGCCTACATACCCATCTGAATAGCAAACAAAATGCACACACCCAAGTAGCACCACAAATTCCACCCAAGTACACCCTCAATGCCCAACCATGTACGAACCTAGATGACAGCGCCTGATACAGCTGAATCAGGTCAACAAAGCCTATTATTATACCAAACGGACAGCCCTCCAGTAACACACACAAACAACCAACCAATCAAACAAACAAATCAACAAACAACCAAACAACCAAACCACCAAACAACCAAAAAGACATTTAAGCACTTGCTTTGGTACCCTCAAGAAAGCATAAACACACACACACACATGGTGTTGGGAGGGAGTGCAATGCAACGAAAGCAGCGCCTGTAGCGAAGATCGCCTTCCGGGTGCAACTCGAAGAGAACTTCGTCAGTTCGGCCCTCCTCATTGGGAATGTTGACCCCGGATGAATCAACTTTTGCTCATTAATATGGGGGCGTTCCCCTCCAAAAGTGATAAGACAATCCCCACTAAAACCAGGGACACCCCCATATGATTAAACAGGGGTTTACCAATCCGTGGTCAACATTGCGGGCATGCGGCGCGTTTGGTGCTTTTGGTCATGATCAGTGTTTCTGGCTGCTACCCCAAAGGGACTGAACAACACCCAAAACCTGCAAAGAGCAGGTCGATTGGTTCTCTCTTCCCGAGTGGATGGCCCAAAGAAAGTCCAAACTTTTTGTGTACGACTAAAATGGTCTTCCCAAGAAGTATCAAGCCCATGGACTCAGGAAGTGAGGTACGGTGGTGTTCCTTTGACCTACCAGTTTGGGGTGACTTGGTCAAATTACCCTAGCACAAAGGGGTCCTGGAAGACTACTTGCAGTTAAAAGGGATTGGGTCCCTGGTAGGTTCTATGTGAGTGGACAGGAGGGTAGAATGGGGTGGTGGGGTACTTACGAAAAAATGCACTTTACCAACAACCCTTTCAACCTGGCTTCGACTTTCTGAGGAAGGGGGGCTTCCTCAAGACACCACATATTCGCTAACAAATCAGTGGCCAAGTAATTACTATCATATTGTATAATATTGTTTACCCTATGCCTTAGGTCTAGTTGCCACGTTTGTGACCAGCCGAGCGGCAGGCGGGCCTGGGTCTCAGGTAAGCCCAGGATAAGCCATTCGTACCGCCGGCCGCGCACAGCCCCCAGTAGAACCCCAAGTGGCCCAATGATGTGCTAAATTGCACGAGCCCCCTGCGGGAAGGGATGAATAAGTGTTTTCAATACGTTGGGCAGAAGGAAGTAACACCTGCAACCCTAGACTAAAAATTTGTAGTAAAACACTTATCCATCCCTTCTCGCAGGGGCTCGACTCAGATATTGCCCCCAGCCAGCACTCTGCAAATTTCCAGGTTGATGTGCTTCTCGTATCAAAACTGCAATTCGATTTGAACATCTGGCTGATGTTGCCAGACGGGGGCTGTTTTCTTCCATTTGTTCGCATGGGAATTTGAATGTTGTAGACTCGACAACATTTCTCGTCGGTTCAACACCATTAATCCCCGTGTCGCCCACTCGACAACATTTCTCGTCGGTTCGACAACATTTCCAGAAATGTTGTCGGGTCGACAACTCTTTTCCTTTTCCTGTGGAAATTTGAAATGTCGTCAACGCGACAACATTTCTCGCCGGCTCGGCAACATTTCCGAAGATTTCGTCGACTCGACAACATTTCTCGTCGATTTGACAAGTCTTTCCTTTTCCTGTGGAACATTGAAAATGTCGTCGACTCGACAACATTAACAACTTTGATATTTTCCCGTGAAAGTTGAAAATGACGTCGACTCGACAACATTTCTCGTCGATTCGACAATTCCGGAAACTTAGTCGGCTCGCCAACATTTCTTGTCGGTTCGACAACTTTTCCCTTTTTCCCAAGAGGAAACAAAATGTCGTCGACTCGACAACATTTCTCGTCGATTCGACAACATTTCCGGAATTTTCGTCGACTCGACAACATTTCTCCAAGATTCGATCACATTTCTCGACTCGACACAATTCTCGTCGATTCGACAACATTTCCGGAAATGTTGTCGAATCGACAACATATCTCGTCGATTCGACAACATTTCTGGAAAGGTTCGTCGGTTGGTGTTTTTTCCAGAAAAAACTGTGAAAACACTTATTTGTAAGGCAAAAATGACAAGAAAACACTTATTTTTATGCCCCCAACTCCGTGAAAACACTTATTGAAAAATGCTGCGCAAAAATGTTGTCAACTCGACAACATATCTCGTCGAATCGACAACATTTCCAGAAATGTTGTCGAATCGACGAGATATGTTGTCGAGTCGACGAGATTTCCGGAAATGTTGTCGAATCGACGAGAAATGTTGTCGAGTCGACGACATTTTCAAATTTCACGCCAAAAAGGAAAAACTTGTCGAGTCGAGCAGGTTTCTAGAAATGTTGTCGAATCGACGAGAAACGAGTCGACGACATTTTCAATTTTCACGGGAAAAAGGAACAAGTTGCCGAATCGACGAGAAATGTTGTCGAGCCGAAGAAATTTCAGGAAATGTTGTCGAATCGACGAGAAATGTTGTCGAGTCGACGAAATCTTCGGGAATGTTGTCGAATCTTCGCAGCCGCCTTTGTAAGGCAGTGAGCGCCTCCATGCCATCCGCTGTTGCTAGTACTGCTTGAGTTCGCGCTTCTGCTTGTGAACGCTTGTTGCTTGAGCTGTGCTCCGTGCATGAGGGCATGCCCAGACTCTTGTGAATGATGCTTCCGCAACGCAGTTGCATTTCCAACTGCGACCATGAGACTCACTGATTCCTCCAAGGCAAACTGCAACAGAAAGAAGATGCCACATGACACATGATGCCACCAAGCTAAATCCTCAATGAGTTGCATGGTCCTTGGTTGATCCGGAAAAGGCTCTTCGAGCTTTTGGAATCTTATTGAACCTGCAAATTGCAAAAGGTCAGATTATCAGCAAGTAACACCCCATTCAGGTTGGAAGAAAACCGATATCGTC